GACTATGGTTTCTGCCACCATACACGTGGCACATGGTGATGCCGGGTTCATGTCTTCTTTTTTTCCTGCCGATACTTTATAAAGATGCACCAAAAATATGTTTGCACAATGTATATTGGCTAATTTTCATTTAGATGAACAATGTACTTAGATAATATATAAGGACTTACTAGCTCCAGTAGTTTTCAAAATCCCATTAGCATCACATTTAATTTTTATTTAATTTCTGTGCATATGTGTGTGCGGTGTGTGTAAGTATTGCATATTCGTGAGTGCACAGTTGTATGGGAATAAATGTGCTTATGCATGCTTGTTGTCACCAGAAATTGATGTTGAGTTTCTTGATTGCTTCCCACCTTTCATACTGAGGTAGGCAGGTCTTGTATCCAGAACTCTCCATTCTGGCTATTCTGGCTAGCCAGCTTCCTCCAGGAACTCCCTGTGTCTTTGCCTCCTTTGAGCTGACATTACTGACTACCTCAGCATTTATATGAATTCTGGAGATTTGAACTCCAGTCCTCACACTTGCATAGCAAACATTTTACTCATCGAACCCCATATCCAGACCGTTAGTTTATTTTTAAAATAATCTGGCTGTGTTGCTTAGGCTAATCTAGAACTCTTGGCCTCATGTGATCCTCCTGCTCCAAGCAGCTGGATGGACCTGTAAGCAGATAAGACCATGCCTGGCTCCTCTACTTTTGATTGAACCATGGGGCACATCAATGTTAATTCAGTCTCAATAAACGTCAAATCATGCTCTGGAGTGACCAAAGCACTAAAAGGTCAACTCGGAGCGAGGATCATTTCATGCCATTGAGGGGTTCTGAGAGCAGTGTGCACACAGGTTAGCCAGGTCCAGTCATGTGCCTAATCCTGAAGATGCCCCTCTCAGAACGGCAGGGGTTTTCCCTAGAAGACTCAATAGGTTCAATCAAAATCAGGAAAGAAGCCCCCAACCTCGGCACCTCCAAAGCCCTCACTGACGACACTAGTGATACTTGTTTATCAACATCAGTATGTGACATCTACTTTATAAAGTGTATCCGTCCAAGCAGGAGGCTCGAGTGTTGATTGGCGGAAAGCAAAGCGGATGGCTTCATGTGGAGTTTTATGTTTCTGCATTCATTCAGCTCCATGGAGGGATCTGAATTCACTGGACTTCACTGCTTTGTTACCAGTTAGACATTTATAGAGAGCATAGTTTGGCCTCATGCCCACGGACTCATTGTCATATGTTTACTTAGTCTTTGGTTGGATGTCAGCTCCCAGGTAAGGTACAGGGATACTATTCTTCAGTAAACAGTATTTATCAGATGTTTGATCACGGGCAACGCTATTGTGGAGGATGGAGGAGCAGTCACATTGGTAGAATAAGCAGTGACCTATGACTGAGGGACATTACCCTGAAGGTTCTGCAGCCTTGGCTGCCCTGGAACTTGCTCTGTAGATCGGGCTCATCTCGTTTTTATCCATACTCCTGTCTCTGCCCCCTGCCTCCCAAGCACTGGGATTCTAGGTGTTCATTGCCACGCCTACCTAAGTAGCTCCTGTTTTAACACAGGCAGTAGTTTTTGCCTTAAGTTCCGCCTGTAGAGATTTAGAGATCCATTATTTTGATCTAACACTGTCTTCACATAAGGACAAATCCCAACATCAGAACGATAGACTAGTGAGAGGAGCTGGCAGGCAGCACGGTGCCTTATTCTGTCCCCTCGAATGCTGCCAACTAGACCTTCGCTCCCCAGCCAGAAATGACAGGATCCTCTTCTACTGCTCCAGACAAATTCAGTTCTGCTGTAGCGGGGACCATTCTGAAAGCTTACCGGCCATGACAATGGCAGTGCTGGACTGGGCTGGTCATGCGACATTTGGGCGTCTCCCGGGCCACTTGCTTTTTCCGGTCTCGCCCTGCAGCCGAGAGCACCACAGCCTTGAAGAAAACCCTGCTCTCAGCCTGGTGGTGGTCGGTGTGGTTGTGGTGAGCACCTCAGGTTCCCTCCACACAGCCTCTCAACGCCCAAGTCTTTCTCCACGTGTTAACCCCCGCTGAGGAAGTTGAGTTCTTCCCACAGGGCTGCCCCACAGAAGACATCATATTTGATGCCCAGGCAGTGTCACACCCTCATTGTACTTGTCCATGCGAGTTACAAAGCCAGTCCAGTTTTCATATCCTGCCCCGGATGGGAGGGGTGACAGACTGCGGGAGTGTGGCATAAGATGGGACCGCGGAGAGCAGAGCAGGGCCAGCCCAGCCTTCCTCACCTGTACAAGGTGGTTTGTCTGTTTCTGAAGGGGATTGGAGGCATGTCTACTCCCTCAAGCCTTCACAATCTTCATGATTGCAGATATCACACTAAGACACAACTTCCGACACCGTTTCAGTCACAGGCAGTATAAAAATGGCGTGACGGACCCTCTAATGAAATTCATGGTGGAGGGTTGGGGCCATCAGCTCCATCAGAGACACGGCACGTATCCATGTTTCATAGCAGTGGGTCTCTGTCTCAGAATCACCGGTGTGGGCCCCACTGGTGATGACAAGAGACTTGCCATCGGCGACTGAGATCTCAGGGAGCACAGAGGCGGCCTTGCTGTAGCAGAGGTGTATCCCGAGGTGCATGCCTGGTCCCCAGGTGGTCATTCACTGAAAGCACAGGAGCACATGGTGCTTAGACACTATTAAGTGCAACACAGTTTATCTCTCACCCATACACAGAGCTCCCAAGTGTTCCTGTACTGCACTCAGAAATACGATCATTTCACCACTGGAGATCTAAGGAAAATTTCTACAAAAGACAAGCGAGGCATAGTGATGCACACTTGTAATCCCAGGGCTTGGCAGGTAGAAGCTGGAGGATGAATTCAAGGCCAGCCTCAGCTGGCACAGACACACACATGCCTCTGTGTGTGTTGATACTCGAAGGCCATTGCATCCATGAAACAGGATTTTCTATAAGAATAAACATTCTTACAGACATTCAAAAGTTGTGATTTACAAGGCCTAAGAGACGAGCTTGGCAAGTCAACAAATAAAATTTTTTTTTTTTTTGGTTTTTCAAGAAATGGTTTCTCTGTGTATCAGTCTTGACTGCCCTGGAACTAGCTCTGTAGCGATCTGCCTGCCTCTGCCTCTCAATTGCTGGGATTAAATGTGTGCACGACTACCACCTGGCGAGTTAATCAATTTAAAAGAGAAGAAATAAAAAGCAGTGATGGAAATAAGAATGAGAAGAGTCGGAGCACAGCTTCAGGTAGCAGAGACATGAGGATCCTGGGACTGTGTAGCCTGAATGAAGGCTAGATACACCTGGGAACCCAGGCAAAACCACGATCCAGGGCCACAGAGATAGTTTTAATTGTCAACTTGACACAATCTAGAAGAGTGTCTCAGTAAAGTCTATGTTGTCCTGTGAGGACCTCAGTTCTGTTAACTGAGGTGGGGACATCCTTGTGCTGAGAATGGTACCATTCCCTGGGCCCAGCATCCTGACCTGTGCCAGTGGATAACCAGGGCCGACCGTGCCAGTATAGAACCAGGGTCAACCATAAGCACACATGTGTTGTTTCATTGCTCTGTTTCTTGACTGTGGATGCAATGTGACCATGTCTCAAGCTCCTTGCTATGACCTCACGTGATGATAGATTGTAACCCAGAACCACGAGCTAACAAATTCTTCTTCCCTATATTGGCTTTGTAAAGGCATTTTGTATAGCAGCAGAAGCAAAACCAAGACATACACAGCGCGTGTGTGTGTGTGTGTTTGTGTGTGTGTGTATTTGATTTTTTTTGAGACAGGGTTTCTCATAGCTTTGGAGCCTGTCCTAAAACTAGCTCCTGTGGACCAGGCTGGCCTCCAACTCATAAAGCTCTGCCTGCCTCTGCCTCCTGAGTTTTAAAGGCGTGTTCCACCACTGCCCGCCTACAGTGTATATTTTCAACAGGTTTCCCAAGATTGATCTTCCATGGGGACCTGCCCTGGATCCAAGCAGAAACACAATAGTATTTGAAGTATCTCTGCACTTACTGTTAGATTTACAAGAGGCTTCACCACTCTCTAGGTGTGTGATCCCTCGTGTTAACTGTGGGTTTATATCATGCACACTAGGCTTGTGGAATGAGAGATTCCTTTCCTCGAGGGAAGGAGTGTAGGAAGTGGTATCTTTCTTGGATACAACACATTGTCCTTAAAAATAATAATATATAATCAAACTTGGGTTTTTTTTGGGGGGGGGGCAGGAGTTCATGACAGGGTTTCTCTGTGTATCCTTGACTGTCCTGGAATGCTATGTGTAGACCAGGCTGGCCTCGAACTCACGAAATCTGCCTACCTCTGCTTTCCAAGCGCTAGGACTAAAGGCATGTGTCACTACTGACTGGCTATATATATATAATTCTTTTACATTTTTGTGTATGTCTTTCCTAATATGCATGTGCACCTCGTGCGTTCCTGTGGCTGTCAGAAGAAGGGAGTTGGATTACTAGAAACTGTGAGCCACCATGTAGGTGCCGGGAACCGAACGCAGGTCCAAGTGCTCTTAACGGCTAAGCCTTCTCTTCAAACCCAGGGGTTTATTTTTAAATGCTTTTCTTGCCCATAATGGGATGGTGTTCGCAGGATCTGTCCGCGGTGCTGAACGCGGTTGCCCGCTTCCGGCCTTGGGCTGCCCTACAAAACAGGCCTCACGGCCCGCCCTCCAGCCGGTTTCCCTCGCGCGTCCCTCTTCCAATTTCGCTCTTTCTCGGTACAGCACCCAGGGAGGTTGGCACTGGGCTGCTGATCTTGGGCTGGGCCTCCCTCTCCCGGGCGGGAACCCTGGTAGGAGGGCGGCAACAGGGCCTCGGGTCGCGGAGTGGCACCGGCGCCTCCCTGCGCGCCCCCTCCCCAGCTCCCGGCCTCTGCTCCTCCCCCTACCCGGTCCCGCCCAAGTGCGCCCGAGGCCCGCGCCTGGAGCAGGCAGAGGAGAGGGGGCGAGGGCGGCGATCGGGAGGGCGGAGCGCAGCTCGGCGCGGGCATGGACGCGGAGTACCCTGCCTTCGAGCCGCCGCTCTGCAACGGCCTCAAGCAGCTCTGCCAGCGGCTGCAGGAGGCGTACCGCGAGCTCAAGGAGGACCTCGCGCCGTTCAAGGATGACCGCTACTACAGGTAGGTGCCGAGGGCCCCAGCCCTGTGTTCCCGCCGCCGCACCCCAGCCCCGGAACCCTGAGCCCGGGACAGGGCGAGGGGTCAAGGGCAGCCCCAAGCGGCCTGGTCCTGCCTGGGCCCTTCTCCATTCTAGAACCCTGAGCCGGGAGGCTAGCCTTTGGAGGACTGGGCTTTCGTCCCTGCTTGGCTCCTCCCTCCTGTCCCGATCTCCCACGCTTGCTGCCTAGCTGTCGCCACAGGAGCCTGGCCAAGCCCTGCTTTGGGGAACTGCCGCCCCCGCCCCTACACACACACACACACACACACACACACACACACACACACACCTGAGCTTCCCTGAGTAGGGTGGGCCTTTGCCTCTGTGCTGGGGTGCTCGGGCCCTGGCACATGGTCTCAAACCCCGGGTTCTTCCCTTTCCAGAGAAGATGTGCGTAGCAGTCACGTATGAGCGAGCGTCCAGAGGAGCTGAGGGTGTGGGTTTGTTTGAGCTCTTTCTGTCCTTTCACCTGCAGTAGAAACCAGAGAGGTGCAGCAGCCTGCGGAGGCTTGGAATGCTTGCTGAAGGGCACCTTTCCCTTCCTCGCTGCGCTGTGCTTTCTGGTGGGAAGTGTGTCGGTAGCCAAAGGTCTTGCATATCTAATGCCTGGAGCTGTAGGGAAAGGACTTCTGCTGGGTCCAGAGAGGCACGGGCCTAGGTTGATTGCGTTACTGAGTAGCTGTATGAGCGGGGAGTTACCCGAGTCGAATCTCAAGCTTCCTCGTCCGTGAATGGACAGCTTGACCGAGGTTTCTGCAGGTGGGAGTCTAACATGCAAACAGCTCACACATTTGGTGGTAAAGGGTGGCACTCCGTATGCTGGGCTGATAGTTAACACTGTTCACCAAAAGCTGTGTCACAAGTAAATCTCGAAAGCCCAGCAGCTTCCTGGGGCTGTATCATGTCCATGAATGGAAAGGCCATTTTAAAAAAATGCAGTGTAGCAGGTCAGGGGACGCAGCGGGTCAAGCCTCTTGCTACGCAAGCCTGATTACCTGAGTTTGAGCCCCAAACCCACGCAAAGGTGGAAGGAAAGAATCTACACCGAAAGGTGTCCTTTCACCTCTGCAAGCACGCTGTCACCTACACATGCCTGCACGTCACATATCATGCAGACGCACACACACACAACAATAAAATTTCAAAATATTTAGTCGTGTCGTGATGTGGCGCGGAGACCCTGTGAGCCCCATAATCTCTCTAATGAAGCCTCCCGAGAGACCCAGCAGGTAAAGAAAGCCCGCGGGCGGACGTTTCAAGTTGCACTGTTGAAGTAAGAGAATCTCCCATCTCTTTTCCTGAGTGTTTCCCATCCCTCTGTTTAGTGTCCACTGAGAACTTTTCTTTGATAAAGGAGCCAGCAAATAAGGGCGTGGTCTCCGTGCAGGCAGCAGAAAAGAGAATAAATCGCACACGTGGTTAATCTGCAATTGGGTCATTCTGTCCACACATTCAGCTGTAACAGCTCCTGGGTATCTCCTGTGGCCGTTCTACGTGAGGGGGATGTGTCCATGAGCAACAAAGACTCATGTCTAAATCGAAGCGAACCAGAAATGGGATTTCAGGTTTCCATGAAAGCAAGCCAGGTAAACCAGGAGACATGATGGCAGGAGAGGTCCTACGTCAGGTCAGATGGTCAGAAGAGTCTTTAAGAAGAATGAGCTTCCTAGATGGGGCATCACGGGTCAAACTTACAGAAGAGGAAGGAGGTGTGTACAAAATCCCTGGAGCCCTAAACACATGATCTGTTCTGGGCGCAGACCGGAGACAAGAGGGTACAGAGCATCTTAGAGCAGGGGTGGGTAAGATTAGAGCCTTGACCTCAGACCAGTGCTGTGCTGAAAATAAATGACAAACAAACCACCCTGGCAAAGGCCGCTGGAGGGAGACGAGTTGATTTGGACTCACAGGGATATAGTTCATGATGGCAAGGAAGCCAAAGTGTCAACACTTCAAAGCAGATGTTCATGTCATAGCCATAGCCGGACAACAGAGAGAGATGGATACACAGTAGCCTTTCTCCTTCTATATGGCCTAGGGAATGGTACTGCTCACTAAAATACCTCCACCCACCTCCGCTCAGGCAAGTCCAGGGCCCATCTTCTAGTTGATTCTACATTGTCACACTGACAGCTAACACTAACCATCACACCAATGACTACAGATTGCATTGGAACAGTGACGTCAGTCAGTGAAGTCACCAGGGTCACTGGGGGAAGTGACAAGCAGTTTGGCTGCCTGCCCTCTAGCAAGCGTGTGAATCGTTGTCATTTGAGTTAGCTTCTGCAGACAAACGTCCCATAGTTGAAAAGGGGCAGGGGTTAAATCTGCACCCTGCCCTGAGAACAAGAGGACTGCAGGGAGCTTCATACTGTCACATGCAGCAAAGCACTTGGCTGCGAACCGCAGCGACTTCTGTAGCAGGGAGTGTTTTATAGGTCACTGACCGCTTCCCAGGAGCTCCACTGAACCTCCACATCAGTGGGTCATTCCTTCACACACCCCAGCTGGAATGCTCAGGTTACAGTTCCAGCTGCTGGGTCTGCCTCTCCAGACGGCGGCGGACTTGCTACTACTCGGTTGGCAGCCACTCTCCTCACCGCTGTCCTGGTTTCCTCATGTGTCAGCCCTCCCCACTTCCCCGGAGTACCAGGGACTAACCTCACACTGTTGACAGTTTGCTCTAACAGGGTAAGGCAAGGAACACAACTGTTAATGACTTGTCTCCCAACGATGGCTAGCCCCTCCCTCCATCAGCTGGCGTGGCTTTGTGCCTGTCCTTTACAAGTTCTGCCCCTGGTGGAAGTTGCAGCCATGTGATCAGAGTACTAACAATCATCTCCACAGGATGGGAGATGACAACTGTGCTCTCTGCTAAGAAAGGGAAAGTGGGGAGCTGAAATCCTGGGTTCCAGGCTCAAGTCAGCCCTTTATGAACTCCCTGGATTTAGAGAAATCACTGAATCCCACCATGGAATTGAGGCAGAAAAGTGAAGCCCCTGAATGCAACCTTCACAAAGATGTTTCGTGTGAAGAGAACCCCAGAGATATGCCCGGCCAGAGAGGACAGACGCCACAAGAGATGAGATGTCCTCGGCCAGAGAGGACAGGCACCACAAGTCAGCCTGAACAGTGTGGCCAGGCAACATTGTTAGTCCAGCAGATACAAGAGATAACCGAGTTCTTTTTAACGTAGTAACAGTTGACTGCCATTGGGGGCTACTAGCCATTTGAACTGTTCCTTCTCGCTCATATTCACGGGGAGGAGAGGTTGGCGTCAGTGGAGAAGGCAGAAATGTTGACAAGGACTTAGAACTGTCATATACTTCACATGGGGTACAAGTGGGTGTCATCTCTGCAGAAAATGCTTAGTCTCTGCAAAGGCTGGGCGTCCACTTCCTTTGAGGGTGGCATCTTCTCCATCAGGAGACAAGAAGCTGTTCTTGTCAGAACGGGTTTGTGCTGATGTGGATACAGTGTAAAGTTTCTAAGCCGGGGGCCGACTAACTATTCACCCAGAGTAGAGAGATGAATGTGTGCACTTAGCCCATGATTGGATATTATATGGGGATAAACGCTTCACAGCTGTAGACACGCCCCAGTTTCTCACAGTTCCTGAACCCCAAGTGTCACCCTGGAAAGCTGGCTGGGCAGCCCACTGCCGGTGCCTCTTTCCATCAGCCGGCTGCGCACACATCCTGCCCTGCCAGGTCCCGAGTGAACATCTAAGCACAAGCCTTGTGGATCCTTCCAGGCCTTGCCCTGTGTGTGCTGAAGGGTTTGCCCCTGAGGTGGGACCTCCTTAGACTTAGAACTCTTGTCTGCTGCTGCAGTGACTTCCTGTGCCTCGTTCTCCCTCTTTGCTCTCTGTGTGACTTCACACACTCTCGCAAGGTCTCCTTGTCAGTGTGTGAATTCAATCAGATACCCTGCAGGAGGAGAGGACCTGGGTGCTCCTGTGAGTGTGAGTTGTACATGTTACAGAGGGACATTAAGTGTGAATCGAGGAGGGGTACAGTATTGGAACCAGGCACTAGTGACTCTTCCTACCTGTCTGGAAGCTTCCAGATCAAAGGGAGAAGCTGGGCAGAGATTCTCTGAAGCGAAAGATGGAACAGGATTCTGAGTGTTCGTCTCTTTTGTTTTGGCATTGAGACAGGGTATAGATGCTTGCTGGCTCAGCTTTGGGAGCACTGGAGATGTTTCTCAGTGAACGACGCAAGGGTCCAGAAAACGGAACACTCGGGTGGGACTGAAATTTAAGTTCTAGTCCCAGGCAAAGCTTCCACCTCTCTATTCACTGTTCACTGAATGAGGAATAGTGTGACATCCACGTCGGCCTCCACAGGGAGGAAGAAGAGGGGATGCTGGCAGCAGGAGCTCTGGGCTCTCTGCGTGTGGAATAGAGTGTGTTCCATTATAAATGTGGTGTGTAAGGAACCATTATTTAGAATACAGGAAGGATTGCTGTGACCCGAGCTTTGTAACCAAGTCCTGTGTCCACAAGTGGGCAGGACACCGAGTTTACAGGGTGTTTGATGGTGCAGAGACCCACAGACCACGAAACAGCAGAGGAGGAGGTTCTATGTCTCAGGGAGGAGGGAGATGCTTGTGAGGAAGTGAAGGCTTGGCAGTGGCAGGGGTCTGGTCAGAACTGCACTCCATGATCTGCCTGCAAGCTCCCCCAGGGCTCATACTAACCCAGGAAGCTATGACATGGAAGTCACTCCTTGTAGGAGGCTGCTTGTTTGTTCTGGGCTGCTCAGACTCCCGAAATAACCACACAGAAACTGTATTAATTAAATCACTGCTTGGCCCATTACCTCTAGCTTCTTATTGGCTAACTCTTACATCTTAATTTAACCCATTTTTATTAACCTGTGTATCTCCACATGGCCATGGCTTACCGGCAAGGTTCCAGCTCGTCTGTTCCTGGCAGAGGCTACATGGTGTCTCTCTGACT